GATATTCTCCTCAGGGGAGGTGCCGTCACTCCAAATTCACCTGCCCAGCTCGCAACATTTCTTACCAGCTTGTTCCCCCCACCTTCTGCCACTGCTGCTTCCCACTTTCTGCCTTCTCCTCAAGATGCCCACCTCGCCTCCCTTCCCACGCAGATCACCATGCCTTCAGAGTGAACGGCCAGCCTTCCACAGCCGTCCACCCCTGCCCCTCCCATCACCTGCTTCCACCATATCCCCAGGGCTTCCCAGGTAGCACTAGTGGTAAAGAACCCACCTGCCCATGCAGGTAGACACAGGAGACCCGGGTTACATCCCTAGATCGAGAAGACTGCCTGGAGAAGGAAGTGGCAACCCACTCCAGTACTGTTGCCTAGAGAATCCCATGGACAGAGGACCCTGGTGGGCTACAATCCATAGGGTCACACAGAGTCAGACATGACAGAAGCAACTTGGCACTCACACATCACATCCCCAGGGGCAGGGACCCCCTTCCTCAGACAAGGTACCCTCATCTGGGCTCAGAGGCTACCTTTACAGTGAGCTCGCTCCACAACATGCCCTCCCCTATCCTTCAGTGATTCCCATATCCAGCTCATTAGCATTTATCCAGATTGTCTTCTCATAAGAAACCGCCCCCGCATGAACCCCACATTCCCCTCCCAAAACCTTTCAGGTCCCCTACCCCACCCCAAGCCAGCTTGGTCTACACATCCTGCCTCTGTGTCCTCACAGCTCACTCACTTTTCAACACTCTCCAGTCTGCTTTCCGAGTCTATCCTCTGCCCCAGACATTCCTGCCCTGAGCTGTGCTCCCAAGTGCACCGACAATTTTGCAAGCCCAGTCTCAGGTCTCAGGGCTGCGAGGCAGGGCTCGAAGCGTCCCCGACCCCAGTCCGTCTGGATTTCCTCCCAGTCTAGTGGTGCTCCCTCCAGCCTGCTCTGGAGTTTCCTCCTCCCCCATGGGATGTTCAGCGGCTCTGTCTCCACTCCTCACTCTCACCCTTCGGGAGTCAAACACCACCACCGATATTCCCACAGCTCAGGAACTCCACTCCAGAGCCAGGCCTGCCTTCTCAGCTCCAGCCTGCCCCCTGGCAGCCAACTGTCTCCCATGAACCCAACACCGGTCGCGCTCACGCTCCTAAGACGTGGTCTTCCCCCAAAATGTGCTCTTCTCCACTGCAACCTGTTTCAGAAGAACCTTCCTGGAAATCGCCCTTCCCTTCACCTCACATATTAACTCATCACCCAGTTAGACATCTTTACTCTGACCTAATCTTTCCTACTACCATCCCCTGAACCAAGCCTTCCTTTTCACCCTCCCTGCTTCCAGCTGAGGTCTCCACGAGAAATTCAGTCTTCCTATCCAAACCAGTCAGAGAGATTATTGCAGAATTGGAAGTCTCATTACATCACACATTTCCAATAGCTCTTGAGATAAAACCTCCTCAGTGTGATTTCCCTGACCCTGTGTGAGCTGGGTGCTGCCCAAACTTCCTCATCTCAGGCTTTTCTCACTCCAGTAACCACAGTAGCAACTTTCAGTTCCTGCCAAATGATAAGCTCCTTTCCACCTCAGGGCCTTTGCACATGCTATTTCCACTATCTGGGATTTTCATCCACTTTCTTATCCAGCCAATTTATACTCGTGGTCTAAGCTTACATGGCACTTTCTCCAAAAAGCCTTTTTATTTTTTACATATTTTTAAATGTATTTATTTTTAATTGAAGGATAATTACTTTACATTATTGCGCTGGTTTCTGCCAAACATCAACATAAGTATACATATGTCCTATGGACATCAGCAATAGGTATCCATATGTCCCCACCCTCTTGAACCTCCCTCCTACCCCCCTCCCCAGCTCACCCCTCTAGGTTGTTACAGAGCAGAAAGCCTCTTTTTAAAGAACTCCCCCAGGCTAGATTTGGTCTTCTAGATGTTTCTTCTTTTGGTACTCTGTTTCTCCTATGCACACCATTATCATGCAATTGTTTGAGCTGCATGACTGCCTCCCAGTATTGGACTCTGTCATATCCATGGCCAGCTTATTCTGAATGTCAGTCTTATGTCTGAGGAACTTGTAACAGTGTGCAGACTCTCTCTGGGTAGAAGTCAGCAGGGGCTCTCCAACACCCCCTGCCACTAGCAGACAGCATCAAGGCCAAGGCCGTGCCATCAGAAGTAGCTCTGTGTGACTTGGGTTGGGAAGAGAACACCAAGAGGAAGCCAGGTGCAATCGAGCTTTTGGTAAGCATGCCAGTGGAGGAGTTCGACTTTTCAGGACAGCCGTGTTGGGTATCTGGCATTTCATTCCCAGTATGAGCAGCTGTGTCTGCAGCCAAAAGCGGTGGAATGGGGAATTCACCACAGTGGTCCCTGGTGGGGCATGGGCACTGCCTCTGACTCTTCTCCCTAACATCATTGACTATATCATCTTTCTACTTAACCCAACCCAAGAAGTTCTATCTTCTGACCCATATCCTCCCTAGCCAGACCCTAAGCCCTTTGAGTAGGGTTGTTCTGGAGCTGTTTGCAGCTGTGTTTCTAGGCTCTACAAGCTGTCTGCCACCTAAGCGTGTACTGAGCAAATGGGTGGCCCTGCAGAACCCAGCACTCTAACAGGAATGCCCATGAATATTCCTGGGGAGAACGAAGTCTCTGTCTGATGCCCACCATCTTGTCCTGCAGACCCTTCCTCCAAACATTACTACCCAACTTGAGATCAGCCACATTCTTGCTTCCTGCCCAGCAGATGGTGGTGCTTGGCCTTGTGGAATTGTAGAGTTTATACAACCAACCTGAGTCCCCTCCTTCAGGAAGCCTTCCTTGACTGCTCCTGCCCTCACCAACACCCTGTTCTCTGAGTTCCCACAGCCCAGAGAATTTGAGCCCCGCACACTTTTTCTTACATCAAGTTTCATCCTTAGGGATAACTTCAAAACACCCACGGACTCCCTAGGGACAGGGAACAAACCCCTCATTTTTACCATCACTCCTTCTCCCCACAATGGAGAGGAGCACAGGCTGGACACAGCAGGAGGGAAGTAGAGTTTCTTCCTTTCCTTTAGAGAATGCGGAGACCTGTGGACCTGCGGAGAGTGTGGCCGGAAGGAAAATGCTGCGGTGGATGGTGGGAAATCCTACTCTACCTGCACAGAACCAGGGGTCCAGGGAACCCCTCCCCCAATCTGCTGTGAATCCTGTAGGAAGACTCTGGTGAGCACTCCTGTCTCTTCAGCTCTTATTCTTCTCATCAGCTTCTTACTTCTCAAGACTGAGGTCAGAAGGGCTTGGGGGCATCCCATTCCCTCCCTCCTCCAGGAGCCTCCTGCTCCCCTATGCTGACCAGATCAGGAGCCCCTTTTTCCATCAGCCCTGCGGGCTCACTATGCCCAGACCAGTCTGTGTTGGGGACTCATTCAAGAAGTTCTGTCAGCCCATCCAGGGTTCTTCGCTGCAATTGTTCTGCCATCTGGTGACCAAGTTAAGCATTGCTCATCTCAATTCACCTGCCTGCAATTCAATTTCTCTTTTGTAGAGAGCTCAGAGGTCACTTACTGACAGACGTCTTTCCCCATACTGATGGGGATGCTGAGGCCCCAATAAGGGAGGGGTTTGCCAATCAAAGGACATACATAGGAACCCGTGATACAGCCCCAATCCAGGGATTCTTGTAATGGAAGAGGCTAACGAAGTGGTGGGAATTTGATGCTCCAGTAGAAACTGGAAGGAAGCAAGAAGTAGGCTTCGGGCCATAAATGAAGCCTCTAAGGAAGGACTAGATCATTCACAAAGTGAGTTTCTGCTTCAACCACTGTTTCCAACTGCTAACCTCTGTTTCCAGCTGCTAACCTCTACTCAATACCAGTTAAAAATTCAGGAAACCAGTTTGACTATTAAGCTGATGAAGATACTTTTAATACCAATAATGAAGCAGAGAGACCATCACATTCACACTGCTTGTGCAAGAATACATTGAGTCAACTTTCCTGGGAGGCAGTTTGCCAATAAGATTTAAAATACTTATCACTTGCGTTGTATTGGCTAAAAAATTCTATGTTTATGGGTTTACGCCAATGTTTTTATTTTTTTTTTTTTGAGTTGTACATGAAGAATTACATGCAAAGAAGTTTGTCATCACAACTATTAGGAAATTAGAAGCAAAGTTCACCAATAGAATATTTGTAAAATAATTATTGGTTAAATAAAGAATATTAGACACAGGAAATAAAACTGGAAATATTGAAGCTTTAAAAAGACTGTTAGATAGGCTTTACAAACTATGAAGCAGAATATAGGTCTGCAAGTGTTCTGCAGCAAATATTTGTTTACTTTTTGAATAACAATTTTATTGATATATAGCTCACGTGTCAAAAATTTTACCCTTTTAAAGTATATAATTCAATGGTCTTTAGTATATTCACAGAGTGTGCAACCATTACCACTATCTAATTTTAGAACATTTCATCCCCCCTAAAAGAAACCAGGTACCCATTAGTAATCAGTTTCCATCCTCCCAACCCTGAAAATGTCTAATTTGTTTTCTGTCTCTATAGATTTGCCTATTCTGAGTATTTCATATAAATGAAACCATATAATAAATAATTTCTCATATCTAATTCATTTCACTTAGCACAATATTTTTAGGGGTCATCCATGTTGCATAATGTGTCCATATTTCATTCCTTTTTGTTATTCATTGTATGGATATATCACCTTTTATTTATCCATTTAATAATTGATGGACAGTTGGGTTTCCATCTTTTGGTAGTTATGACTAGGATTTCTATGAATATTCATGCATAAGTTTAGTACAGTCATGAGTTTTTCATTCTTTTGCCTATATGCCAAGTCACATGGTAAATAAATGTTGGACTTTTCCAGGAACAGCCAGACTTTTTGCCAAAGCAATCGTACCACTTTACATTTCCACCAGCAAAGCATGAGAGTTCCAGTTTCTTCACATCCTTGTGAATACTTGTTACTGTCTTTTTTTTTCATTTTAGCCACTCTACTGAGTGGTTTTGATTTGCATCTTCCCAATGACTGATGACATTGAGCATCTTTTCATGTGCTTATTGTCCATTTTTATATATCATTTATGTTTATTTTAAATATAAGAAATAACACAAATCTATGAACATATCATGATCTCGAGATGTTTCAAGAAGCAGAGGAGAAAAATCTTTTAGGAGACATACAAAAATATCAGTGGTTATTGTCTTTGGGTAATGAGATTATGACTGATTTCTTAATTTAATGACTTTTTTTTTATATGGACCATTTTTTAAGGTCTTTACTGAATTTGTTATAATACTTCTCTGTTTCACGTTTTGGATTTTGGCTGTGAGGCATGTAGGATCTCAGCTCCCCAACCAAGAATGGAATCTGTACCCCTGCATTGGAAGGCAAAGTGTTAACCACTGGACCGCCAGGGAAGTGCCCAGTGGCTGATTTTTATTTTCTTTTAAAATCCCTTGTATATCTCCCAAATGCCCTGCAAATAGGATGAACGACTTTTCTGATTTGAGACTAAAGGAAGAAAAGCATGCTGCATTGCTTCGGGGGCAGCACTTGGGCAGAGGACGTGGGAGGAAGAAGCAGGCTGGGGACACAGGAGGGCAGGCAAAGGAGAAGACATAAGAGAAAAACCTAGACCTGAGGAACCTCCACGCTGGAGAAAAGAAAAGAGAGAGATCTGAGCATTTTCCAGAAGGACAAACCTAAAAGGCTAACAGGCACGAGAAGAGAAGAGATGCTCGCTCATTAGTTATCAGAGGAATGTAAATTTAAACAAGGAGATGTCACCGTACACCCATTTGACTTGCAAACATTGAAAAGCTGGGTAATGCCAAGTGTTGGTGGAGCTGCTGGTGGGAGTGGAGATCTCGCTGGCAGTTCTGGAGCGCAATCTGGAACCACTCTGTCACGTTAAGAAAAGGCACATCGGCCGGCCTGGCACAGCTTTCACTCCCCAGAGTGTGTCCCGGTGAAAGGCTCCCCGGCCCGGGGATGTGAGGGCACGTGAACAGTCACCTAGAGGCAGGGGGAGAAGGATGGTCGCATGTGGCTGGTGACACCATGTGGCACCATAAGGCAGTCAGAACAAGCCACCAGATGGGCACATGGCAAGACGGGTGGCTCTCTTAAAAGTACTGTGCTGAGAAGAAAAGCATTAAAAGCAGGATGAGGCATATAACCGACAGCATTTATGTAAATTAAAACTACAGACACACAACACTACGTGTTTTGCAAGAACACAGAAACAAGCATTCGCATTTAACACATTGGAATGTTTGCCTGTAGAAGAGGGGAATGGAAGTAGAGACAAAAGAGAATATATGTGTTTTTAATGAATTAAACAAGAGGATCCCTGCACAGACACATGATGGTGATATGACAAGAACTGATATGTGATAAATGCACACGAGCACCAGGGTCTAAACAAAGCTTACAGATCCCTCCCCCACAGAGGTATATGGGTTCACTCTAATGTGTATCTATTCATTTACAAGTTTACTGGCTCCTCTGGCCTTGGGCAATGGCCCAGATTCTAGGAGCAGGGACATGAGAAGAACAGCAACGGACACACAAGGACCCGGGAAAAAGAGTCAGGAACAAGACAGAGGAGTGCTGGGTGGAAGCATGAGGGTTCCCATGGGACGCTGTGGAGGGTGGTAGACCCATGTAGATGCCCAAGTTCAGGTGTGGGCTCCAGTCACACGCTGTGACCAGCCTGACACACAGATGTCAGCACCTTCACCCTCGAGTGTGGAGGCGTCGTCCACTTGATATGAGTCCTCCGGGCTGGCAGAAGTTCAGGATCGTGGCCGTGCCATCTCCGTGAGATCTCAGTCCTCACCTCCAAGAACAAGAGGGAGGATGTTAGGAAGGTCCCACTGCCACTTCTTTATTCAGCCCCAGTGGGGTTGAGGGTGCCCGGGGAGGCCATGCAGGAGAAATTGACACAGGGGTTTCCTGCAGCAGGAGAAGCTATGGTTGGCCACCGCCACAGCTAAGTACTACCTCGAGAGGATACTACTTCCTCCTTCCTGCAACTATTTCTGACCATTCCCTTTGGTTCCTTCTCTGTCTTCTAGTACTGCTTTTGTCTTGGCCCACTTAAAGACAATTATGAGTGTTTTCTTGAGTTTCTGGCCAAAAAAAATAAGTATTCTGTCCTCTCCAAATAGCCCAGGGCCCATGAGCCATTACAGGCAGGTTCAGAAGTCCTGTGTTTGTTCCCAGATCCCAGATAAGTCTGCAGGAGACTCAGAGAGGCTAGTGGGAACAAAGAATGTCAGAGGAGGGGGAGCCGATAAGCGACAGAAGTGTCAGGTAAGGGGTAGCAATACTCCACAGCTGGCAGACAGGTCTGTGTACCCAGGTTTCCAGCAGAACCGTTCAGTTCGGTCAGTTCAGTCGCTCAGTCGTGTCCGAGCCCACCATAAATCCATGGCCACTAGAGGGAGCCCGTGAGCCTGCGGAAGGAGCTGGTAGTCTGGGACAGAGTTAAGTTCTCTCGCTACTGCCCACATAGCAAGTCTGTCCGAAGCGAAAAATACGAAGTGTCTTCTGGGTTGGATGTTATAATTTACTCTTCTCTGCCATCTCTCCATAATTCTACAGTGCACTGGCACCATCTATTCTGTCTATAGGGACTTTGCTGGTGGCTCAGACAGTGAAGAATCTGCCTGCCTGGAGAGAGTACCAGGAAACTTACAATACCGTATATAAAATAGGCAGCCAAGGGGAATTTGCTACATGACTCAGGGAACTCAAACAGGGGCTCTGTGACAATCTAGAAGGGTGGGATGGGGAGGGAGACGGGAGGGAAGTTCAGGAGGGTGGCCTGATGGGTGTACCTATGGCTGATTCTTGCTGATGTCTGGCAGAAAAAAAACAAAACTCTGTAAAGCAATTACCCCTAAATTTTTAAAAGTAATAATAATTAAGTGCCCCGACCCCGCCAAAAAAGAATGTGCCTGCAATTCAGGAGATTGGGTTTGATCCCTGTGTTGGGAAGATCCCCTGGAGAAGGGAATGACAACACATTCCAGTATTCTTGCCTAGAATATCCCATGGATAGAGGAGCCTCAAGGGAAAGAGTCAGACATGACTGAGCAACTGACGCAAGGACGAGGACACTCTGTCTGTTCATGTGCTTGTTCACCTCTGTTTGGTCTGTTCTTCTTGCATATCTCTCTTCCAGGTGCTCTCTCTCAGGACCCCTGCCCCTGCTCTCCATCATCTTCCCTGTCTTTCACCTGAATCTATTTTCCTGGGCTTTGCATGTCTACCTTAGACTTCATTGTTTCCTCTGCATCTTCTCTCTGCCTCTCTTGGATCTGACTTATTCCTTCCCCCAACTCCCTCTAATGTTCAATTTCAGAAATACAGAATTGAGGGACCCTTTTAGCCCCCCAGCCCCTACGTTCCTCTTCTAATCCCTGAGAGGCCTTTTCTACCTCATGATGAATGGATAGTAAGCTTGGCCAAGACCAGAGGAAGGATGGATAAAAGATGTTCACAGGAAGCATTCAGGTTAAGCTTGATCCAGAAACTCAGGACAGATTTCCACAAAGGATTGCAGGACTCAAGTTATGGCCTGAGGTGGGATTTACAGGGGCTGGACAGGAGAGAGGCAGCCTTAGGAGTGGTGGGAGGAAAGGCTTAGAGAAAAGGATAGTCTGAGTCACATACCTCTTGGTTGAGGAAGCAGTACAGGATAGCAACAATGAAGCCCTGTGGAGTCAAAGAGAAAGGACCCCATCACCTTGGCCTGGCCTCAGGTGTCTGTAGTCTTCCTACTACATTTTCCCCCACCCTCAACAGGCTGTGACTTGGGCCAGGTCTTTGGAAAAATGCAAAGTAGACATATTCATCACATTACTATATGCCAGGCATATGGTCATATGCAATTGCCGTAGCAAGCATACAAAAGCTTTGTCATTGGCCTGTTGGCCCATTTCTCTGATTTTATTTATTTCTGCATCCCCCAGTATTGAGCGCAGGGCCTGGCACATAATAGGTGCTCAGTAAATGATGAATTTATGAGATGGTTAGATGGCATCACCAACTTAATTGTCATGAGTTTGAGCAAGCTCCAGGAGTTGGTGATGGACAGGGAGGCCTGGTGTGCTGCAGTCCATGGGGTCGCAAAGAGTCGGACATGACTGAGCAACTAAACAACAACAAAATGTTGAATAGATTGGATGGATGGATGTATGGGTGGATGGGTAGATAGATACAGGGATAGTTGAATGAATAAAGAGATAGATGGATATAAAATAACAAACAGATGGGCAGTTGAATAGATGAATGAGTATCTGGAAGGAAGAATAACTGGTCTAGTCACCCTCACCTGCCATGAAATCAACCAACCCTGTGGACAGCAGCACCCGCCTCCTACCCAAAGACTCAGAGGGAAGGAGAGAGTGCCATGGGGACCCTCACCTGGAAAGAGCCCAGTCCCAGTTCTAGGGGGAGGCGGATGTCCAGGCCAGCACTGTCAGGCAGGAAGTTGAAAATGATATAGTGAATTCCAAACAGTGGAATGAGGAGAAGCGTTGACTTAGAGAGACGCCTGCAGAAGAAAACAAGGCCTGGATTCTGCTGCTCTCTCTCTCAAAGGCTCTGGTCTCAATTTATCCCAGTCAAGTCTATGTATCTTTCAAAGTCTAATTCAAAGACACCTCTTCCAGAAAGTCCTCCCAGACTGTACTCCAACCCCATGATCCATTTAGAAAGGATCTCCTTCCGCAGGCTCCCGTAGAAATCGATCTCCACACTCATCACCCACAATGTGGGTTGCTAACTGGCTGTTTGGGACCCTCATCCTTCCTATATTGTTTCACTGGAGGACAGGGACCAAATCTATTCTCTCTCTGAGAACCTGGGGAGAAGCACGGGACCAAGATGATGGATGCCTAATCACGAATAAAAAAGAACCATCTGACCCCTGCACCAGTTACGTCCCCAGAATTTCCTGAAACACATACACACACACACACACACACACATACACACTCACACACACACACACACACACACACATATTACCAGTACTGAGGCTGGGTGTGGAGGCTGCCCTGAGTTGGCTCCAGTTTCCTCAGCAGGATACGGATAATATTGAGAAAAAGCCCAAAGTTCACCTGGAAATGGAGGTGCAGGAAGATGGAAGGCAAGTGGCAGGAGTGACCCAAATGGCTTGAGGTAGGACCTCTTTGGGGACTAGAAACCTCAGGTCTTTGAGGGCCAGGATGTGCAGGTCATTGATCGAAACCTTGTCACCTGGAGACTGGGAGGTCCAACATGGTGCTCAGTGGATCCTGGGCTCAGGGTCCCCCTCCTCCAGTCCCAGGCCAAAAGTAGGAGGCCATACCTTTCATCCTGCTTCCAGCACCTCTCAGGTTCGTCTAAAAAGCATGTAGCCTTCACTTTGCACAATTACAAAATCGACAAAGATATGTGCATTCACCCAGGCCACACAAACCAGTCCTGGCTGCCTTGCCTTGAGCGTGGGCAAGGTAGGGGTTTCAGCTGCTGCTCCTTCTACGCCCCCAGCCAGGCCTCACTGCAATGGTAGGTGATCTGCAACCAGGCTACCAGACTCATCAAAATTCTGAGTTAGAAGAAGCCTGAGGTCTGGTTTTTCCAATGGGCTATCCATGGGCTTCCCTTGTGGCTCAGCTGGTAAAGAATCCGCCTGCAATGTGGGAGACCTGGATTCGATCCCTGGGTTGGGAAGATCCCCTGGAGAAGGGAAAGGCTACCTACTCCAGCATTCTGGCCTGGAGAATTCAATGGACTGTATAGTCAATGGGGTCACAAAGAGTCGGACACGACTGAGCGACTTTCCCTCTTGAGGTCCAGAGAGGGCCTCACAGAGCACCTGTGGATGGAGCCAGGCTCGAACCCAGGGTGTCCTGGCTCCCAGCCTGGAGTCGTGTTTCCTACTGTGTATGGCTGCACAGTGGGCCCAGGGAGATTGGCTGAATGATGCAGAGGACACGCCTCAGGCACTGACCCCAACAGAGAGGACGACGGGTCCTTTGATGATCCACCAGTAGGGGGAGCTGTCGTCCAGGTCCCAGCACCTGAAGAGAGGGCAGGCCTGGCCTGATGGCGGGGTGGCGGGAGACAGAGCGCCGTTGCTGGGAAGCCCTTTTCTGAGGTACCCCTGCTCCTCTTTCCTGTCCTCCCTCTACCTACAGCTCTAGGCTCCTCCCTCTAGAATTCGATCCTTATAGCCTCACCTTAATCCCAACCAGCCTCATCTCCTCGAGACATTTAAGCCCTTTCCAAAGGGACACCCTAATTCAAGAGGGGCTCACCCTTTCCCTTCACCAAGGTGGATGAGTTTCTCAAAAATCAGTTGTGTTTGCTGCTTTCTTGTGGCCCCAACACTTCCTCTGTTCTGGAAGGTCCCTTCTTACAGCCCCTATCCCCTGAGATCCCGAAACCTGAGACCCTGTGCCCCCTTCCTGCCCAGGCTCAAGCCTCTTCTGTGTTATCCATGGACTGTGTCTCCCACCCCCCACCCAGCCCTGGGAGTTCCTGAAGTCAGGACCAGGGACCCCCTCCTTCTCATCCCAGTTTGGAGGACAGCCTCATCGCCCAAGCATCCAATCCACACCCCATCGGGACCCGGTACAGGTGTGATGAAGGGATAGCCCAAACTCACGCAACATCTTCAAAGGCCAACTTGCAACCCACCCACATGCCGGTGAAGAGCAGAGGAAGCCCTGTGAGGGTACAGAAAGGACATGAGCAAGGGTCTGCATCCTGTGCCCACCTCCCACCACCACCACCAGTCACACAGGGCACTGTGGCGGCAAGACCATGTGAAGCCCAGGGCAGGGGACCTGGTCCTGATCTCAACACTCACTGGACGACTGCAGCCGTCCTCCCCCTTTCTGGCCTTGGAGTCATCATGAGTGAGCTGAAAGGACCTTTGTGTGAGCTCCCTGGTCATCCCCAATCCTCCACCCACTCCATCCCCCCACCATGGTGCCCACCAGCCCTCCGTGCTCACCCCAGGCAGCGAAAACCAGCCGCCAGAAGACCCTCTTCGTGCTGGGCAATGTGGAGGCTAAGAGGCAGGTCAGGTACACAGCTTCTGCCAGCAGCCAGCTGAAGTTGGTCATGGTAGCGAAATGGGAGGTGGTCACAGAAATCTTGCACAGAACCTGTGGGCCAGGGGCCTGGGTACCTCAGAGCCAGGACACCCACTGGAGCCCCACCAAGTCTCCCCCAGCCCCAGGTCTCTTCCACTTTGGGCTACCGCCGAGGGGATGTGGTAGTATAATGTGGTGGTGAAGAACACAGGTTTGGGATCCAGAGAGCCTGGCTTCAAGTTTATCATCTGGGTAACCCACCCACACCTTAACTTTTCAGGTATAAAATGAAAAACTTCCAACCCCTAGCTCATGGTCTCATCATAAGGATTAAATGGAAACCCTGTATACAAATTGCTACTATTTTTACTGATACTATCTCACCATCTCTCCTGAACTCAAGTTTATCCCTACAGCTGAGGCTATAGAACACCATTTACTCTTGCAGAGCTCCATCCTGCAAAGACACACGCATGCACCCTTGCATTCATTCATTCACTGAGTGACTCTGCTCATCTGTTGGGTGGCAGAGCACTTGACTCTGAGCTCAGAGGCGAGTGCTCTGAGTGCTTGGCCCCATTCCCACCACTCAGCAGCTGCGTGACCTCCCAATTATCCCTCACCTACAAATGGAACTAAAATGAAAATATACATAGGAAAGAAAATGAGACAATACATGTAAAGCATTTAGCATAATGCCTTGTACCTAAGCACTAATTATATATACTATTATTGTTTCTTACGTTAAGGAATGAAGGTCATCTGTTGGTTTGTTCATTCATGTATCTATTCATTTCCGGTACAGTGTCAGAATACCTAGAGCTGCCCTCAACACAACTTATTTTTGGTCTCCTCTCATTTGTCCACCTCCCCACCCCCATAATGACCTCCCTGTTTCTTGGAACAGCCCCAGCTTCTTCCGTCTGTGAAAGCTGCTTCACCCTGGTCCTCCCCCCTCCCTCCCTATCATTGCTGCCCGCTCCCCCCTCCCCAGAGCTCCAAAGCCACCTCCTCCCTGAAGCCCCCTCCTGTTCTTTCCCAGCTTTCAGCTCCCTCTGCCTGGTGGTCCTGTAATCTGGTACAATCTATCCCCTTAGACATCCTGGGTGCTTCTTGAAGAAGGGACCTGGCTTTGTCCAGCCCCTGATACACCCACACCCAGCACAGACAGAGCCAAGAGGAAGTATGAGATGCAAAGCACGGGTTGGGCTATGGGATGGGGAATGAAGCGAGAATACAGAATATGGAGCAGAGTGGAGTAAGGGAACGATGGGGCTGGACACAGGAGGATTTAGGACTTGACCACAAGGAGAGGCGGGAAGGGGGAGGGCTACTTTCCCACTCCGTCCTTGGCAAAGCCAGAGCCCCAGGGTCAGCCCACAGGACTGGACAGGCTGACATCTCTAATCTAACCTCCTCACCCGCACCAGCACCCCCACCCATGGCTGTTACAGTGGAGAGGCTGCAGTGGTCCGTGTTCTCGTGGTGAAAGAGGGTGGCGTCTTTCAGGAACACAGCTCCCGCCTTGAGGATAAAGGTGATGAACAGCTGGGTGTGGATGTAGTTCCTGGGGCAGTGGAGCCTCCTGGAGGGAGTGGGAGGGGTGAGGAAAACAGGAGCTAGGAGGGAGAGCAGGCTTGGGGAGGCTGAGCAAGGAGGGAGGTGAATCACATGGGCTTGGATTGGCTATTATCAGATTGGATCCATTGAATGTGAGGCTTCAGCTTTAACCTTGCAGGACAGCCAGGCTTGGTGCAGGTGAAGGAACAGAAAACAGCAGTTCCCTGCCTTCAGGGAGCTCATTATGTGGAGGACAGAGGCAGAAATGACAGGGGATCCCCCACCCCTGGATAATCAGAGAGACGAGGCTCATTCCCAGGAGACAACAGCTCAGGCCAGGCTGGAGAGGGTTATAAGAAGGCAAAAATTAAAGGCGCGAAATAGTCAAGGAGGGCTTCACAGCTTCTCAGAAGAGACAAAGAGGATTCTTTAAGGCATATGAGAACTGAGCTTTGAATATTATCAGGTTTGAGGGGAAATGGAGGCAGGCATTCAAAGGAAACTGAATAAGTTCCCCAGAGCAAAGACGTAGAGGTGGGAGCAATCCTAGGGTGTAAAGAGATGGGTCCATTCATGGGAAAAGTGAAAGGAGAAGTTAGAAATGGCCACAGTGCAGCCCTGGGAATGTCTTTAATATCCAGGTGGAGGATCAGGTTTGGTGCTGCAGATGACGGGGAGGCAGGGAAGGTTCTGGAGCAGGGAATGAGGATGGCAAACCTGAAAGCAACCAGGATGATGATGGCCACTAGGAGGGCCGCGGCCGAGATGCTGTGGCCCATGGTGTAGACGATCCTCACCACGGAGAAGTAGGATTTCTGGGGAGGGTGGAGACAGAGGGAATCTCAGCAGTGGGGCCTCTGAGGAAAGGGAGGCTTGACCATCAAGCAGGTGACGCTTTCAGTTCTACCCCCAAACTGTCGGTGTGGGGGCAGGGGTGTCTATGGGGAACACAGCAAGCTGTCTTTGGAGTTTTCCCTTTGGAGTTTGTTTACAGCCTGTAGGCTAGTGAGGGAACAGGAGCGGGGAGGGAAGCAGGGATGGGGGAGAGGGGATGAGGATCAAGATGCTTAACTCTAGCTGCTGCTAGAGATGGGGGAAAGAAGCTGCCACGGAAACTGCACGTCCCTGGGGAGTGTGAAAACTCAGGAGTAGATCGGGCTTGTTTATTGACATCCAGCTTGCTCATCAGCTTGGGAACACGACATCCTCAAATAAAGGGGACAGCAGGGACAGCTTCAAGGCTAAGCTCTTTCCACAACCAAGTATTTGAATCAATCAACTCAGCCTGGACCCGGGAGATGGAGACAGAAGGTGTATCCTTGCAGGGAGGGGATCGATCAGGGACCCAGCTCCCCTGAGGGATGCAGGCAATCACCCCTGACTGCCCCTCCCTGACTCAGTCTTTTTATCTGAAAGACTGTCAGACTCATGCTCTGCCTTCAGGACTGAAGGGAGAGAGCTATGGGGTTATAGGAATGGAAGCAACTTGCCAAAGCACTGCTCAGTTTGGAAGCATGGAGTGTGCTGCTGGGGTCGGAGTCACTTCCATCATTGGGTTTCCCTCACTCTCCCACAGCCATGCACACCACTCCACAGACTGAGGACCAGAGAGGGCAGGGAGCTTTCGCAGCGGTCCTTGCCCAGAACCACTCAGCTGGTTCTGGGAAATCTGGTTTGTTTCCCGGAACCACCCCCAGCTCCTGGTCCCGGAGCCTGGGCACAGAGAGGGTGTCAAGGAGACGCCGGCCAGGTAACATTGCCCACCCTGCCTTCCGCCTCCCTCTTCCTCCTAGCCCACCCGTCACTCTGGAGCGAGTTAGCACTTGCTCTCCTCTAATTCTCACGCCCTCTCTTCCAGCCATCTTCCAGAAGTGCGCTATCATTCATATTCCGACCCGCCAACTTCAATGGAAGTGGCAGCCCCTTCCATTGTGCAGTCTACCGGCCACACAAACATCTGTGATGAGCCTCTCACCTCCTCAGTCAGCAGCTCCAGGGGCACAGGGCAGGCCTCGGGATAAGGCGGGAAGGGCTCTGACCAGCCTACGATGGTGCAGTCCCTCTTCACCGCCCCTAGGAGGCAAGCAGAGCCGGGGAAGCAGAGAGGTGGTCAGGAGGTGGGGGAGCTGGGAGTGACCTTGGTCGGGTCTGCACAGACAGCCCATCTCTGCAGCAGAGAGAGGGGAGCCTGTTCTCCAGAGGCCTGGTGTCCTGCCTGCTTGGAACACCTTCTGGGACCTTCCTTTCTGGCCTCAGACTCACCTTCTGTTAATTGAGAGAACGGTTTCCTTGGGGCAGAGTAGCAAACTGGATCCCCAGCATCCTAAGGAAAGGAGGCCCTCTCTGCCACCGGAGGGACCGTCCACCCCGGACACCCAGGCCAGGGAGGTGAGGCAGAGCACGGCTGCCCTTCCGCTCTCCCCCACCAGGCAACTGGTAGCACTTTACAGGGAGATTGATTCTGCCTCTCCACCCCCATGGCCAGGCCTCCTGCTCACGCCTCCTGCTCACACCTCCTGCTCACACCCAGAGAGCAAGTACTCAGTGCCTGCCCCCAAGTGCAGCACTCCCGGGCCTAAGCGCACCCTCTGTGCAGCTAGCGCTCTTGTTATCCCCAGGTCACAGGAGGTCAGGAAGCTGAGGCTCAGGGAGGGTAACTGACTCATCCAAGTTCACAGCGAAAGACAGGAAAGGATAAGGCAGTGCTCCATCCAGGTCTGCCTGACTCCAAAGCCAGGACGTGGCCACCACATTTGGCCACCGCCTGAGGAAACCACCTCACCTCCACTCTTCCCCCCATCTCCACAGCCAGCACCCCTCACCTGGCTCCGAGCTGAAGTGAGAGAAGAAAGCTGGGCAGGGGAGGCTCACCCACTCGCCGGAGCCCGCCGTCGGCCAGCACAGCAGCCCGTCCCAGATTCTGGGGCAGCCTGGACAGTGAGGTGGGAGCAGGAGAGACTCAGCCCAGGGGACAGGCTTGTCCACCATCCTGAGTGGTGCAGCTGGAGGAGATGGAGAAACCCACAACAAGCCACTTCCTCCCTCCCCAGCCCCGTACCCAAGGTGAAGTTGGGCATCCCTTCGGCAGCTTGTAGACATGCTCGCTCATCCTCTCTCAGCTGAGTGACGACGTCACATTCTGGGTGCACGTGGCCCAGGACCTGTGCAGGAAAGGATTAATGACATGAGCCAAGCCAAGTGTGTGCTTTGTCTAGGTTTGCTGGTCAAACGACCTGAGGACAGAGGTAAAGCCTGATTCATTTCCCTGGCTGGGCTTAGTTAGGTACAGAGACCAGGCTGATCAAAGAAACTTAATGGCTATTTGGATGAAAGGCAGGCAAGCAGGGAGGCAGGGAGGGAGAATAGATGGAGATTTGGACAAAGGCTTCCCCTTTTCAACTCATGGAAGTCAGTTCTGAGACACATTAAATAAAAGTCTTCAGAAGATGACATGGGGATGGTCACCTCAACAATGCAGCCATGTAGTGGCTTTTTTTCCCCGTGAATGAGGTGAAGGAACAAACGAATATGTCTTCATGGATAAATAAATGAATGGGTAACTGTGTGACTGGCTGGTAGAATGAGTGAATATACATACAAAATATAGATAGATGGACTTCTCAGGTAGCACTAGTGATAAAGAACACATCTGCCAATGCAGGAGTTGTTAGAGGTATGGGTTCAATCCCTGGATCAGGAAGATCCCCTGGAGGAGGGCATGGCAATTCACTTTGATACCCTTGCCTGGAGAATCCCATGGACAGAGGAGCCTGGTGGGCTACAGCCCATGGGGTCGCAAAGAGTCTGACTGAAGCAACTTAGCACACATAGATAGATGGATGACTGGATGCATGGAGGCATGGTGGATAGGTGGATGGATAAGGGGATGCACATAGAGATGGATGGGTAATGGACAATAGATGGAGGGATAACTGCCTTGACATGTAATCCAACAATCAGGAAGAATTAAGTTTTAGGAATTTCCCAAAGCCTGGTATCCTGGGAAATGATCTGTGGCTCATTCACAGGGAATGATCTCTGGAAGCTAGGAAACAAGCTGCTTTTCTGGAAATCCTCTAGCAGTATTTCTGAAAGTGTGTCTCTATAACCCAGCCAGAGATCAACTGCAATGGAGCCAAGAATACTCAGAGATCTATGGTTGGATCTAGGACTTCACATTTTAACAAGTTCTCCAGGGAGCTGGAGTCAAAGGCAGGAATTCTTAACACCTCTCCCTCCCACTTCCCCAGACTGGAGAAAAACTGACCATCCAACAGGGCACAGTCTCAAACAGACACACGTGAAAGAACTCAGCTTTACAAGACATGCTCCCTACACTGTGAACGTGGATCCAGAGCCCACGCTCGAATCCAACTTGCACATCAAATTCAATCAGTGTAGATTTCTGTCCCCAAGGATTTCCCAGGGAAGAGTGTGGTGAGGAAGGGAGTTAACACCTGGTCCTATTACATCTAATACAAACTTAGCAGGGGCAGGGTAGTCACTATGGGAGGGTGGCCCTTCTCACAAGGACTGAGGAGGTGGCATTTGAGCTGAACATTTGAAGAGAAAGGAGCATTATTTTTAGAACATGCCCAGACAAGAGAGTGGGCAGATATACCTGAGCTGCGTGAGGGGAGAGCCCTACCCGTGGCCATCCGCACATCCACATGCACACACACAAGCCCCCAGTGTCTGGCACAGAGTCCATGTCAGCAGGAGGTTAATTAACTCCTAGTGTCCTTTGACAGAAACCCAGGCACGGCAAAAGCATAGTGGGTGTGAGACAGTGGCTGGGGTCAGAGACTTCAAACACTAGAATGGGAACAGTCGACAGTAAGTGACCACATGGAAGGGATCCAATGGGCTAGGAGAGGACCTGGAGACCCTGACCAGTACGGAGGGTCACTCCCATCAGACCCGCCCCTGCAGGGGAGGACACCCCTATCCTAACCGGCTGACCCCAGTCCCCCAAAGCCAGCTTGGGCTCAGCTCTGTCACCTCCTACCTGGGCCCTGGGACCTCATGATGCAGATTCCACCTGCAGCCCGGGCTCTGGATCTCCAATCTGGGAGCACCTCTTGGCTTCTTCCCAGGACTCAGTGAGCCTAGGGCCACCTCAGAGGAGAACCCCAGTCTTACCTCCCCCACACGTCCACAACAGCAGCCTGATTGTCTGCAGGGGGGGTAGATGGGGAGGAGGGGGGCCTGATATGGGATCATGGGCTCCATCTGCCCTCCTCCCCCTCCACATCCACAATCCCATCCCTTCCTGAGATGCCTTCTCAGAGCCTGACCGTGGAACCACCGGGGCCAAAGGAACTAGGCCGCTGGTGGGAAGCCTCCCACCAAAAGGAGAGACAGACAGCCACCACACTTCCCAAGGGAAGAAAAATTCAGGGAAGCTCAACTCATGACCCAGGTGTGTGGGTGGAAACTGCTGGGGGTGGGAAGAGGTGGGCCCTCCCAAGACTTATCCCACTGCTCCGGTTGGATCCACCACTCACTGTGGGGTCAGGGATCATCTGGCCCATGTCCGGGACCCCACTCCTCCTCAGGAGACTATCGTCCTGCATACCTTGGCCTGGCTGACCATGGCTATAGCTGATCTGGGCTCTATGCAGGACAGAGGCCACACCAGGAGACTGGGGTTTAGTGCTAACCCTGACTTGGCACCAGCTGCCGAGTGACCCCCACAGGATCGCAGTCCCCCTTCGAGAATAATCATTTCCTGTGGGGTGCACACAGATGAGAGGGAGGAGGCCCCACTCTGTGCAGTGCAGGGAGGGCAGGGGAAGCCACCCATGACGCGCTGCAGGCCCAGCCTCTGACAAGTCAGGTCCTTCTCCAGGCACAACAGCCCTGGGGGGCAGATGTTATTTTCTTCTTTTACAAAAGAGACAAGTGAGGCTCAGCAAGGGACTTACCTAGGTCACATGGCGAATTCACAGCACCGGTATCCAAGCCCAAAGGCCATGCACAAGAGCAGGTGCAGCCCCCACCACACATACACACACGCACACACACTCTCAAACACACAGACACTCACACACAAGCCAGTGGAGAAAGAGGGCAACCTCAGTCCACGCGGGCTCACAGGAGACCCTGGGAGCCACAGCTTCCAACCCGGGACTTGTGTCTCCCATCCTGGTCCCCAAGTCACTGTCACTTGCATTAACTCCGGAAAAGCTCACAATACATTCAGAGAGGGCCCCCCTGGCAGCCAGCTCCCCAGCATTCTAGGCCTCCGGGCTCTACCTGATTGTGGAAAGCTGCTCAGGGTCCAGGGTGTGGCCTGTGAGGGAGAGGCTCCCAGATGCTGGAGAGGAGAGCAACTTCTCACTACCCAGACACACTCAATCCCTGGCCACGCACTCTTCAAAGGAAGCAACTCAATCAAGTGGCTCCAGGGATGTGAGGACTGGGAGGGCTCTGCAAGCTTGTCGGAGGAGGAGGTGTGGAGAAGACTCAGGGTGTGACAGGGAGGCAGAGGTGCTGTTTTAGGACAGAGCCTTGTGGCCCCGAGGGTGCAGACGGGCCCTGGGGGATGCAATGGGCAGGTGAACTCAGTTCAACTCCAGGAAGGACGCTTTACTGTCAGAGCTCCCCAGGGGTGAGCAGGCTGCCTGGGAAGGGAGGGGGAGGAGAGGGGGGGACCGCAGGTGTCAGAAGTTCTCCAAGCCAGGCCACCAGACTGCTTAGTAGAGAGACTCCTGCGCCGGGGAAGGGTAGTGGACCCCAGTGGACCCCAGTATGGCCCAGTGGCTCCCAGATCTCAAGCTCAGTGGGCAGGAGGGGCAGGAGGGTCTGAGCTGGCTACTCACAATCGGCAAGGGGCCCAGCAAGCAGAGGACGCGGGCACCCCACACCCTGCTGTCCATGGTGGGAACTCGGCGACGGCTCCCTGGGTCAGCCTCGGGGACCCTGCGTTCCTTCCACTGTCCCCTGTTGTCACCGCTGCCAGCACACCCTCTGTTTCTCCTTCCCAGGTGGCTGTTTGCATAGACAGGAGGCAGTGAAGGGGACAGAAGTCACTGAATATTCACCAAGATTACAGAACACCGTGCCCAACTCCACCGCAGCCTCGGGGTGGAACTCTGCATTCCCAGCAGGAAGCGGTTGACTTTGTCTGTAAGTCTGCCCATGTCTGTCCTAACATTACCACGGTCACAGACAAATGGCAGCCACAGGACACCTCTTGTCCCAGTAGGTCAATATTCTTTATAATTTTCTTCTCTGAGCCCAGCCCTCTGAAGGGCTCTTTCCCCCCAAATGAAGGAGACTCAGCAGAGAAGAAGGCCTAAGTCCACACTCAGGGAGACCAGTTTGGTTGCGATCTCAGCCTCATCCACAGGGCTGAAGGTTGGGTTCAGAGCCTGGGGGACCCAGCAGAAGTGGGTAGGGTGTCAGGAGAGTCTGGAAAATAGGAATAAACTTAGAAAAGGAAGCACAATCACGAAGTCCCCATGCACCCCCATGGGCTGGTCGTGAAGATAACAGTTTCGGCAAAACCTTGTTTCTGTTTCCAGCAAGAATACCAGTCTGGACGGCAAGGTGAAGTCTGAAGGTATCCAGGCTCTGGACTTTACATGGGGGCTTGTCAAAGTCTCTTTGAAAGTCCACATGGCAACAGGGAAAAACAGGAAGCGTGCAAGAAGATTCACATAGCTAAGCCATCCTGAGTGGGGCAAAACCAGTGCTATCAGGGGCAGAAACAAGAGAACCTACACAGCAGCTCAGACTAATTTGAATATTCATTACCCGGTCATTTTTGTTATATTTTCAGACTTTAAAATGAGGGATCTCAGTTGGCCAGGCTAGAAACCGTGTTCTAAATTTCCCTGGAGCCTGCGCAGCACTGGGGCGACTGGAAATCGCGTTAGATCTTCAAGGGCCTTGACGGTGCCAGTACCCGCAGGCCCCCTTACCTGTGTGCAGGTCTGCAATCCCAGAGCTTGTCAGGCGGGACTCTGTGACACCCATGTTTACAGGCTGACGCGAATCATGAATGATGGAGCTCCTCAGCCCTGCCACATCTGGACTGAGGAATCATTTTACATCAGCAGGGCTGTGTTTTTCCATTTGCGTTCCTCATCAACAAAGAAAAATATTTTGAAAGGAAAGCACGAAGCGCCCCCAGCCCCGGACACTCCTGCCCTGGTATAAGCGTCTTCATGTGCTTGGCCGTGACCTGGGGCACGGCTCAATTACACCAAGCTTGCACATTTGCAGAGTGAAGCAGAGCCCCTCTGTTGACAGGCTGAGTAAGGATGCAGTTTGCCAGAGACAGAGCACCGAACAGGTGTTGTTTAAAAGGAAAACCAGAGCCTCTGTCCCCTAGCTACAGAGAGGCAATAGTCCAAGGATAAAATCTGCAATCGGTCACTGTTGATAATTAATATCAATTGGTGATACTGAGGGTTAATAATTGATATTAATGCTACTACTGTTTATTGTCTATTTGTCAGTGCCTAGAGACAGTTTTCAGTGTCACAGCCAGCAGTCAGGGGTGGGGAGGAGATATGGCAAGGTACTAATATTATGTAAGGGATAAAAACCATAAAAACTGGGGTGCTGTTAAAATCCTACCATGCACAGGATGGCCCCTTACAACCACCTAAAGAATTATCCACTCCAAAGGTTAATAGAATTAAGGTTGAGAGACCCTGATTTAATTATTTGTGTTCCTCAAGCTTCCCCTAGGTCCACTGTCCCTTCTGAATGGGCCAGGATCATTGAACTTCCATCTCCAACTATTTCTGTATCTGCTCAGGGTTCAAAGTTTGACTCCATCACTTGGAGTTCAATGGCAGAATTAAACAGGTCTCTCTCACACACACACCATGTGTGACCTTGGGCAAGTTATTTAACCTTTCTGAACCTCAGTTTTTCATTGAAAAATGGGCATGATACCTTCCTTGTAAGGTTTCTGGGATAAGCAGAAAAGGAAAGGCCTATAGAGAACCTCATACAGAGCCTAACTCACAGAGAACATGTCACGAGGCTGGACTCTTAGCAAAGAAAGTTAGAATAATCAATTCTTTGGATGGAAACTATAAGACTAGCTCTTTAGCTTATATTTGCAAAATATAAATTCTAGAAGGCTTAAAGTCTCAACTATAAAGCAGTAAGAATTTTTTCCAAAAATGCAAATTTGTTTTCACAACCTCAGAAGAAGGGAAACTTTTTTACATAAAAAGAAATCATAAAGAAAAGAGTAGTAAGTTTGACCACAATTGGCATTAATAAATATAAATGTTCAAGAAAGAACCCCATAAATAAATCTACAAGCAAACTACACACTGGCAGAAATATTTGTGACCAACATTGATAAAGATACACTATCAAAATTTATTTTAAAATGCCTAAAAATTAATAATAAGAGGAAAATGACCCAATAGAAAAGTGAGCAAAGGATATAAACAGCAATTCAGAAAATAAGTAAAATGGGAGCAATGAACAGATGAAGAAATGCTCAATATCACTAATATTCAAGAAAATTAAAATAATAATGAGTTACTCTTTTTGCTTATCACATTGCTTAAAATTTTGTCTGATAATATGATGTTTAGAATTATGTGGGTAAGTGGTACTTCTATATTGTACAGATGAGTACATCCACTGGTACATGCATTCTGAAAAGACAATATGATATGATCTTTTATATCTGTGAGTGAACATACCCTATAAACCAGAAGTTCCATTCCTGGGTATTTGTTCTCGAGGGCAGAATCATCTGTGTTGTTGCTGTTTAGCCGTAGTCATGTCCAACTCTTTGGCAACCACATGGATTGCAGCCCACCAGGCTCCTCTGTCCATGGGATTTTCCAGGCAAGAATACTGGAGTGGGGTGCCATTTCCTTCTCCAGGGGATCCGCCCAACACAGGGATTGAACCCGAGTCTCCTGCATTGCAGGCAGATTATTTACCACTGAGCTACCAAGGAAGTCCAGTATTATTTGCAATATGCAGTAAAACCCAGAAAACAACACAAAAGTCCAATGATAATGAAATAGCTCAATAAAATGTGATATACTCACACAACAGATTAGTATAAAGCATTGAAAGGGTAAACTAATTCTCTTTGTGTCAACAGGGAAAGATTTCAAAAATACATACTTGAGGAACTTCTGCTTCCCTATAAGGCAGAGTAACAGAAAGTGATCTCAGCTCAGTTGCTCAGTCATGTCTGACTCTTTGGACCTTATGGACTGAAGCGTGCCAGGCTTCCCTGTCCATCACCAACTCCTGGAGCTTGCTCAAACTCATGTCCATCGAGTTAGTAATACCATCCAACCATCTCATCCTCTGTCATCCCCATCTCCTCCTGCCTTCAATCTTTCCCAGAATCAGGGTCTTTTCTAACGAGTCGACTCTGCATCAGGTGGCCAAAGTATTGGAGCTTCAGCTTCAGCATCAGTCCTTCCAATGACTATTCAGGACTGGTTTCCTTTAGGAGTGATTGGTTGGATCTCCTTGCAGCCCAAGGGACTCTCAAGAGTCTTCTCCAACACCACAGTTCAAAAGCACCAGTGGTCCAACACTCATATCCATATATGGCTACTGGAAAAACCACAGCTTTGACTAGACAGACCTTTGTTGACAAAGTAATGTCTCTGCATTTTAATATTCTGTCTAGGTTTGTCATAGCTTTTCTTTCAAGGAGCAAGCATCTTTTAATTTCATGGCTATAGTCATCACCTGCAGTGATTTTGGAGCCCAAGAAAATAAAGTCACTGTTTCCATTGTTTCCACATCTATTTGCCATGAAGTGATGGAACCAGATGCCATGATCTTAGTTTTTTGAATGTTGAGCTTTAAGCCAGCTTTTTCACTCTCTTCTTTCACTTTCATCAAGAGGCTCTTTAGCTCCTCTTCCCTTTCTGCCATAAGGGTGGTGTCATCTGCATATATTAGACTATTGATATTTCTCCTGGCAATCATGATTTTAGCTTGTGCTTCATCCAGCCCAGCATTTCTCATGATGTACTCTGCGTATTAGTTAAATAAGCAGAGTGACAATATACAACCTTGACGTACTCCTTTCCCAATTTGGAACCAGTCTGTTGTTCCATGTCTGGTTCTAACTGTTGCTTCTTCACCTGCATACAGATTTCTCAGGAGGCAGATAAGGTGGTCCGGTATTCCCATCTCTTTAAGAATTTTCCACAGTTTATTGTGATCCTTACAGTCAAAGGCTTTGGTGTAGTCAATAAAGCAGAAGTAGATGTGTAATACTAGAAGTTCTAGCCAGAATAATTAGGCCAGAAAAAGAAATAAAGGGCACCTAGTTGTGTCATCTGTGAACAGAGGTAATTTTATTTTTCCTTTCCAATTTAGGTGCCCTTTATTTGTTTCTGACCTGATTATTCTGGCTAGAACTTCTAGTACACACTGACTAGAAGTGGCAAAAGTAGACACCCTGTCTTGTTCCTCACCTTAAGGAAAAACTTTCAGTCTTTCATTATTATGATATTCACTGTGGGTTTCATATATAGCCTTTATCATGTTAGGGGAATTCCCTTTTGGGATTCCCTGATGGCTCAGATGGTAAAGAATTCTCCTGCAATGTGGGAGACCTGGGTTCCATCCCTGGGTTAGGAAGATCCCCTGGAGGAGGCCATGGCAACTCACTCCAGCATTCTTGGCTGGAGAATCCCCGTGGACAGAGGAGCCTGGCGGGCTACAATCTGCAGGGTCGCAAAGAGTCAGACATGACTGAGCAACTAAGTGCATAAGCATATATAGATATACATATACGTACTCATTTCTTAATGTCTGGAAGCTCCCACATCAAAATCGTAAAAATGGAGAAAAAGGAAAGGGGCAAGGTATAGAATGTAGGGAATGGAATAGTTGCGTTGACTCCAGTATTTCAATGTTTAAGAAAATGTATTTGTGCACTACTTGTAAAATTAAAATTAAGATCACAGTAGCTAGTGTTTAGTTTTTCCTTGTCACCAGTGGGTATTGTAGA